CAGAAGTGACCTTCTGGAATTGGAGAAAAATACAAAAGATTTATTTTGGCATTTCTTATTTTAAAAAAAGGAGTCCAGTTTGAATTCAAAGTATGCTTTCTGCAACTTGTTTTAACCTATGAGCTGTAGCTGAAAAAAACAACATGAGAAATTGTTTGGGGGAAAGAAGGTAGAATATGAAATGTCAGTTTTGTATAAATAGATTTTATATACATTTCACTTTAGTTTTTCAAGGTCTGTTAGTGAAAAGCTTCATGTACAGAAAGTTTCAGAAGCAATGGATGCATGTGGGTGGAGGAAGTATTTTAATACTTTAACTTCCCAATGTAGAGGTCACATTTCATAATGATGTTTTGCTGCCGCGTATTTAGGCATGAATATCTAAAGATAACTAAGAAAGAACCAAATACAGGAAGGAAATGAATGGTTTGTTGACTTGGAAATTCTTTAAAACAATGCAGGAAAGTTAAGTACAAGGCAACCAAGATTATTTGTGGAAGGAGGATGCAGTTGCAATGGACACATACGGCATGTCTACACAGCAAGGCTAAAGCCGAAATCAGCTATGCAACTTGAGCTATGTCAATTGCATAGCTTAAGACAAAATAGCTTATTTCAGCTTTTGGCGCTGTTGACGCAGCAGGAAATCCAAGAAAGAGCACTCTTCCTCCAACTTCCCTTACTCCTCATAAAATAAGGGTTACAGGAGTTGGAGTATCAGAGGGGTAGCTGTGTTAGTCTGGATCTGCAAAAGCGACAAGGAGTCCTGTAGCACCTTATAGACTAACAGATTTATTGGAGCATAAGCTTTCGTGGGCAAAGACCCACTTCATCAGATGCTTGTAGTGGAAAATTCCAGAGGCAGGAGTGCAGGCAAGAATCAGGCTAGAGATAACAAGGTAAATTCAATCAGGGAGGATGAGGCCCACTCCTCCTTTCCTATCCTCCAGACTCTTCCTTTGACTTCCCTTACTCCTCATAAAGGCAGAGTTACCGGCATCTACCAGAGCGCACTTCTCACTTCGAATTAGCTGTCTTAATGAGACCACTAATTTGAACCCTGGAAGATTGACGGCAGCAGCTTCGCTCTCTGTACTGTAGACGTACCCTAACTCACTAAGTGACACTGGATGAGTCATTTAAGTGCCTTTGCCTCACTTTATCATGCTTGTAAAATGTGTTGGGTCAACTATATCTCACTGAGGTCTCATGACATGTAACATCTGTAAAGAGTTCTGAGAGCCTCAAAAGAAATTCTGTTCTTTTCAGATATATTATTATATGGTGCCTATCACCAAGGTGTCTGAACACCTAGCTCACTCACTGCAAAATATTTTTGCTATTTGTCAGACTAGCATTTCTTTAAAAGCATTTCTGGGCAAAATAACGAGTCTTGTGTGGAAATTCACTAGGAACTTCAAAATAACCATATACACTTCAGAAAATTACTTACCAACAAATCATTGGTATATTAGCTGTCATGCCAAAGATGAATGGTGATAAACCAGCTGTGGTAACCTGTAAAATTAACAAGAAGAAAGGATTTGCCTGATGTCATCAATGAAAGTTGAGCACATTATACAGGTGCACTTACACCAAATAGGCAATTACCCCCAGGTTAGTAATCCAGCCATTGGGGCAAAGAAATAGCGCATCAGGAAAACATCACTTCCATCAAACCCCTGGACAGTAGAAGGAAGGGGCAAAAACTATTAAAAGAACCTGGAAATGAACTAGCATTTACGAAAGCAGGGGCCACACGGGAAGCCAGGAGCAGCAAGCACACTGAATGCAGCAGAAACCATCAGGGAACTGTGTGCAGAGCAGGCTGCTGCTGCAGCCAGGGAATCACATGTGGAATGGGACATTGCAGCTGGGTTCAGGATGGGAGTAAAGGTGGGCAAGGCTCGAGGACAATAGGAGATAATGTCGAATGCACTCATGTACATGGGGGGAAAAGGCCGGTGCACTCTTGGTCTGCAAACACCGGAGCATTATGCTACGGCTTTGTCTACACTTAAAAGTTTAAAACACAGCTACAGAGGCACTTTAAATAACAGAAAATGGAAGGAGTTCTGAGCATAGTGACAGATGTGATCAGGGAGAAGGAATTGATTTTCAGTGAAAGATTAGGATAAATAACATCTATGGAAAAGGATGACAAGGTGACAGTCTACAAATGCAAACATTGAGACATGAAAGGGATTGTTTTGGGGTAGTACAGCAGGGTATGACTAAGAGTAATAGGATGAAGCAAAATATTTAGCCAAACGATTACCAGGAAAGACTTCCTGACAGTAAGATTTATTAGCCTGTCTGTCTCTCAAGGGAATGTTGGAAACCCCAGCACTAGGCTTATTTAAAACTTGACAAAACACTAACGTGCAATAGGAACCACACAACCATTTCAGAGCAGTCTCTGCTTCACAGTAAGTTACAGCTCATATCAGTTACATAATTTTACCCTTGCCCTTTAAAAAAGGGGAGGGGGCAGAGCTCAGATCCCTGCCTCTGTCAAAGCTGTGCTCAGCACAAGACCAACACCAAACAGAAAGGAGATTCCGAGCCATCTCTCCACTCCCAGTCCTGAGGCCAATCAAGTAACCCAAAGTACGTCAGCTAGAACTGTTTCATGGGAACTGCTATGCTGCTTGGGAACTGTCAAGGCACAGTGCACCTCAGCCAGGTCCTCTGCTGCCCTAGCCCACCAAGGAATGCTCCTTACACCTGCAAGAGGTGGGGAAAGGAGAAGAGATAGCTATGCTGGCTTTATGCCTCCTAAGAACTGATGTAAATAAGGGGAAACTCAAGAAATTCCCGTTTGTACCACTGGGGCAGTGCAGAGGGGCCAAAGCCAGGGGCTAGCATCTGACCAACCATGTGTAGCATCGGGACTTTGGGTTTACTGCCTGGAATTATTGTCATTAATGTGGCCATATGCATCTCTAACATAATCTACCCGGCCATCTGTCTTAGGTGTTTCTAAAGTGCCTACCACTATTGTATATATTTTAATATGAAAAGATGTAAAGCATGAAACTAAGACTAATTAAGCCACCTCTTTATGAGAACATTTTACTAAAAACGCCTATGTAACGCATGTCAAAACTCACTACTTAGCTGCATTATTTTTTCCTTATATGCACGTGCCAATGAAAATGCAAAAAACAAAAAACAAACCAAACCAAACCAGGAAAAGGTCCTAAAAGTCCAAAATGCTGCAGTGTTAGTGAGATTAGTGGAGGGTGGGCCAGTTCTTGACTAAGTCACTGCTTGAGGCTATCTGCAGTCACAGCAAGGTAGAATGTGACAGTTTCCATGCCATTCACATTTGGAAGGTTATCTTTTGCAACTAGCAGGGTTAGAAACTTATTGGAAAAAAAAGGAAAGTCCAGATATTAGAGAATCTGAGTAAATCACGCAGATCATATAAATCCACTTGGCCTGGTTGCTGTATTTGGATGTTGCAAAATCTAAGAACCTGCACTTTACTGAATGGCTTGATTTTCACCATCCATATATTAATGTACCTCTACTAATTTTAGTGAAATTACTCCTGATTTACTTGAGTGGAAGAGAGAGTAGAGTCAAGAGGACTGAGCTTGCATTACACTAATGCTGAGGCACTAGACTGAGATGAGATTGAGAAGTATAATGCTCATTACCAAGCATGTAAATAGAAATCAATATAGGATGGATAGAAAACAATTACAGAACTACTTATCTTGTTAAATTGTTTGCTCCAAGATAAGGTTATGTCCATGTTGCAGAGCTGTGTTTACAGGTAACTTGACAGGAGATCAAAAAAGGGAAACAGGTATAGGACTGTAACAGGGCCTCCCTTGGTTCTGCTCCTGCTGCACCTACAACCAGCCAGAGAACTTTCCAGTGGCACAAATCACCTGTGCTCTTTACTTACACCATTGCTGCCCATCTTGGCTAATAGCTATAGATGGACCGATCCTCCATGAATTTATCTAGTTCTTTTTTGAACATTGTTATAATTTTGGACTTCATAATATCCTCTGGCAAAGAGTTCCACAGGTTGACTGTGCATGGTGTGAAGAAATGCTTCCTTTTGTTTGTTTTAAACCTGCATCCATTTGTCAAGCAGGCCTAGGTTTACTCAGCCAGCTCCAATTCCCAACTTCTTGAATTGGAAAAAAAAAGGAAACATTAAAAAATGAAAAACAAATTTCCAGGAAAGTCAAACAAATACGTTATTCAAGGTAAAATTGAGAATACATGGCTCCAGTCCAGAACTTAATTTTTCATTTATTAAACTTGAAATTTGTTGTCTTGTTTTTAATTTACATATACATTTATTTATACTTATAAAATGACAGAAAAAGATACTATCCAGATGTTCTAGGTGCTCTTGACAGAACTTTAAAAATGCATCCTTAGTGTAGCAATCTAGGGTCATTCTTCATAATCTGCCTTCCCCTAAAATAATTATGGCACATCATGTAATAATTAAGAAAAAACTATTTCTAGCCATCAAAGCATTTGTCACTTGATGCTGTTGCATGTTTTAAGGCCATTAGTTTGCATCCTCCTACAGTCTCTTGCATTCTCAGATAAAATAGGGTCAATTTCACTTTGTACAGGCAGTCCCCGGGTTACATGGATCCAACTTACATCAGATCCCTACTTACAAACGGGGTGAGGCAACCCCGCACTAGCTGCTTCCCCCCAGCAGACCAGGGAGACGCGGCGCGGCTTTTCTCAGCAGACACCTCAGCTTGAGAATAAAGGACTGAGGGAAGTGAGGTGTGGGAGAATAAAACTGAGCTCTGGAGAAATGTTTGGCTAGAGTTTCCCCTACAATATGTACCAGTTCCGACTTACATAAATTTCAACTTAAGATCAAACCTACAGTTCCTATCTTGTACGTAACCCGGGGACTGCCTGTATTTGCAAATGTGCTTTTGGGAATTCATGACCCTTATTCATTTGCATCCTCATGTAACTCATCATTGGCCCCTGAGACCAATTAAAGTTCAGCCTGGACTGGTTTTAAAGAGAGCCCCCAACCAGTCATCGTCATCCAGAAAGATGGTATTCATGACATGGCAACTGAAGAGAGAAGATGTAATAACAGGAACGAATGTGTAGGGAGATCTTTAGAGATCTTGGTGGCATAGAGAACTCATGATAGCACCTAGGAAGTGCACTGCCCTTGCCAAAATTTTTATTGCTAAATGGGGTGCTTCCTCATGTCCCCTCCCTGTTCCTTTGTATGACCCTCCCTGCATCCCTTCCCCTCACAAGCACCAGGCTTGGTGGTATAAAGAAACATCCCTACCATTCATAAAAGGTTTTGCTTTTAATTAGATGTTCCTATGATGTCCATCCTATGGTCCCTAGTCACTTCATAAATGTTAATGAAGTAGGCCTCAAAACCCTTCCTGCCTCAGTGAATTAGGGAAGTATTAATATCCCATTTTACAACTAGAAAAACTGAAATACACATCTGTGTTACTGAGATTCTTTGGATCTTTATTTATTCCTTGGTTTGCTTCTGGGGCAGTGGAGCTAGGTACTGCCCTTTATGGTAGACTATAAGATGGCAAGCTAGCCCTAAATGATTTGCCCAAGGTTTCTCAGGCAATTTGTGGCACAGCCAGAAATTAAGTCAAAATCTCCTGTTTCCTACGAATATATAAAAGCTAATGTACGGAGACTCCTCTTTCATCAGAGGTTCTCATCAGAGTATCAATTTTGTAAAAAAAAAACAATGAATTTTGATGACACTTGTCAGCCTTCAATGTTTTTTACTGATATTCTCCCGAAAGCATATGAGAGGGAAGGCAAGTTATGTTGCTTGTCCCTTGTCATTTATTCAAAGACTTTCCTATAGGTTGTTTTGTGTTTTTAATGTTTCATGGTGGGTCAGAAGTTAATTGCAGTGAAAATAAAACAGGTTTATTTTATTTACTCTAAGATTGATGTCATAGCAGTGCAACAAAAGGGTTTGATTTCCAGCTCCTATGTAGATCATAGTTGCTGTCATTCTTGCCTTTGAGCCACTTTGCATGGATTTAGCTGTGCTTTCAGCAACCTGTTTGAATACACCATCTTTCTGTTAATTATTCATTATGTAGAGAGAATGAAAGAGCATACAGAAGTAATGCAGAAAGGGCATGAGAAGGGGAATAACATTTCCCTTTGGGGTTGAAGACACCTGAAAGGGAGGAGGCAAATGTGGAACAAAGGTGCTCAGAGCAAGTTTGTAGAGGCAGGTGAAGCTCATGCTGTATCTGACTCAGAACAAAGTATTCCATAACATTACCTGCTACTCCCTCCTCTGCCTGCCCCATCACAGGGTTGTCAGGCACCTCTTGGGGAGTATCTTGAAAGCAGCCCTGTTGCTCCCACCCAGGCAGCTCCTATGCAAACTGCACAGAGACATGTGGAGTGAGGAACTCTCACACTCCTTCCTCCCTTCCCTTCTGCTGAGCAGCTGCATAAGGGGCTCAGGAGAATCTAGCCATATTCTGTCAGCACATATCTTG